TGTGGGTGTCAGGGGTGGTGGCATGCCTGATCTGACTCCTCTGTCAGCTCAGCCAGGTCAAGTCCTCTTCCCCACAGGCCTTTGTGTCCATTCCCTCAAGGTCCACCCGTTCGGCCATGCCTTTCAGCAGCTGCCATGAGGGCCACAGCTATGCTGGGGTGTTACCTCACCTGCTGCCCACATCTTCGCAGGGAAATCTTATGACAAGCTCCCACCTCCATACAGGGGAGTCTCACAAGGCCAGGCAGGGCCTGGTGCCCTCAGCTTCAGCCCCAAGGGCTGAGGAACCCCAGACTTGCAGCTGGACTCCCCGTTCATGCCTTCCCAGATGGCCAACGGCCACGGCTGCCTGTGGACTTGCCAACCCCTCCTGGCTTCGTCCTTTCGCCCCTCTGCCTCTCCCCTCCTATACACATACCTTGACAGAGCCGGCAGTGCTCAGAAACCACAGAGGGAGAAGGTGATGATGGGGACAGTGACATTGTTCCAGACAGCAAAAGAGAAAAGAGAGGACAGGGTAGGAAAGGAAGGGCGCAGGAGAGATCAACATCAACCACGAACAGCCACCCCACGATTCCTTGCTTCTGGAATCTTCTATCTAGACCCACCAGCTCAAGAGAGTAGGACCTGCCTCTGGACCTCCCAGCACTTTGTCCACCATGGAGAAAAGAGAGGTGGGCAGACAAGGAGGAGAAAAGTGGAGAGTGGCAGGGCAGGAGCTGAGGAGGGAAGAGGAGAGGTATGGCGTGAAGGGTGAACTCAAGACTGGAGTCAGGAATGACAGGAAGGAGGCGGGAGGACCAGGCGGGGTAGCCTGGTGGGGCTGGCGAAGGATGGAGACCAAGGAGTGTCCACTACTGGGATCCAGAAAGAGTCTAAGGCCAACGGGATGGCTGGCCCCCGGGGTCTCAGCTAATGCCCACTTCTCACTGTTCCAACATGGAATTTCCAGGCTGCTCCATGCCCCGCGGGACTCTTAGGGAACCCCCTACCCCAGCCTCATGCTCTCCAGGGACCCTCACACTTCAGCTGTAAATGTCATTCCCTTTTAGATGATGTAGCAGGGTGGGCGGCCAGCCTGGCACCTGCGGCCCGCCCGTGGCTGCGGATTCGTGTGGCCTCCGCCCTGTAATCACCCCTGAGAGGCGCCCAACCCAGGCTCCCCGGGCTTCCTCGCGAGCTGAAAGCGTTCATTTCCACCCGGGGAGTTAACGACGGCATATGTGGAGTTCATGGAGAAAGATAGCATGAAGAGGAAGGTTCATTTCAGTACAGAAGTTCTTGATATCCGGGTGTGTTGTTTTAATGATATGCACAGTCCATGAACTTTGGGAAGACACTCCCACCCCCATCCTGTGTATACGTGTGTGTGTGTGTATGTATGTGTGTGTGTATACACCAGAAGCCTGTTTTTACATTACATGTATGCATTCATTGACTTGGAAGGCAGTGATAGAGAGAGAGAGAGATCTTCCATCTGTTGGCTCACTCCCCAAAGGCCCATAACACCACCAGGAGCCAGGAATTCCATCCAGATCTCCCACGTGGATGACAGGGGCCCAAGCACTTTCCCAGGTAGCAGGGACCAGGATCGGAAGTGGAGCAGTTGGAACATAAACCCACATTCCTAAATGAGATGCTGATTCCCAAGCAGCAACGTAACCCACAGTACCACCACACCCGTCCTTGTGCCGGAGGCTTTCTAATTTGGTTTTGGCATTTTTCTTATTTGAAGTATGGGGAACCTCAAGAAATGTGACTGGCCTGGGCCTCTGTTGGAGGTCTCCTGAGAGGCCTCAGGGTGACACTTCTCCCCATACTCCCACTTCTGTCTCCGACTCAGCTTGGATGCTTTCGCAGTGGTGAGGAAGGCTGGGGGAAGCACCCCAACCACCCCCTGCCTTCTCCATTCTGAAGAATTAGTGCCCCCTGGCTTCCATGCAGGGCTGCACTTACCATCCCCAGACAGATGCGTCCTGGCCATGCTAGGCCCCCAGTGGATTGCCTATGATACCCACTTTTCTATTGGTTCCCCTGTGGGAACCACCTGAAGCCTCCAGGCAAGGACAGGGATGGCCAAGGCTGCCTGGCCAGATCCAAGGAGTCAAGGTGGTGAGCTAGCCCCCTGGGATAGGAGGACCAGTGTCGTGAGCTAGCCCACTAGGGTGTGGACATGAGGATGGTGAGCTAGCCTGCTGGGGCATGGAGTGAGGGTGGAGAGGGTCCCACTGGACTGCGTGTCAGGGTGGTGAGCTAGCCCATGGGGTGTAGGGATGGGATCTAAAGCAGCTGCTGAGTCAGGGGATTCATTGGGGTTCTGGCTGGCGCCCCACATGCCACGCAATTACCCCAAACATAAATATTTCTCCAAATAGGCAGTGCACACAGCCCTGGGGGCAAGTCATCACTTCCCATGATGTCACTCGCCACGCCCAACTCCTGGAGGGCTCCAACGACCAGCAGCCCAGGTGACCAGGACTTCCCTTTCCACCAGCAAGGCCAAGGAGGAACACCCAAGCCTGCCTCAGCCAGAGCCAGGCAGGTGGCAGTGGGAGCAGCAGAGGAGCCCTAGGGTCAAGTGCAGCTCTTCCCCCAGCTCAGCACTGCAATGAGCTTCCGGCCTCTCTTAAACCCTGCCAGGTAGGTCTAGCGCAGTAGCCTAGAGGCTAAAGTCCTCAACTTGGAAGTGCCAAGATCCCATATGGGTGCCGGATCCTGTCCTGGTGGCCCTACTTCCCATCCAGCTCCCTGCTTGTGGCCTAGGAAAGCAGTCAAGGATGACCCAAAACCTTGGGATCCTGCAGCTGCATGGGAGATCCAAAAGAGGCTTCTGATTCCTGGCTTCAGATCTGCTCAGTTCCAGTCATTGCAACCATTTGGAAAGTGAATCAACAGATGGAAGATCTTTCTCTCTGTCTCTCCTCCTCTCTGTATATCTGACTTTCCAACAAGAAAGTAGAATAAAATAAATCTTAAAAAAAAAAAACCCAGGCGCACCTGTTGCAGACCTGGCTGGCGGAAAGCGCTTCCTAGGGATGCATTTGAAGCATCTCAGTGTGGGCTTAGAGACTCAGTAACTAGTGGAGGCCTCTGGAATGCTCACTCAGGACCCGGAAGCAGCCTCAGTTGGCGCGTGACCTCCCAACAACCATCACTGTTTCCACTCACCATCCCCCTCCCCTCACTGGACAGGGCCACGGGAGGGTGCTAAGACACACAGCGTTCCCAAGGGAACTTCCCAGACAGCCAGCCCTGAGAGCTCTCGCCCCCTTCCGGGAGCAGAAAGAGAAAGGAAAGAACCCGAGTCGTGTGAGCTCCAGCAGCTCCTGCAACCGGGGCAGCCACTGTACCAGTGACCCTCCATCTGCAGTGTCCCATTGGTCCTGTCCCCAAGCTGTTAAGGTCAGTGCTACTGTTCTCCCCCTTTGTCAGGCTCAGCACCCTGTCCCACGAGGTCTCACAGCTCATCAACGCAACCATGATGAGGACTCAAGTCTGTCATAACTCCAGCCCCTGGGAAAGACCTCATTCATTCCACAGGGGCTCCTGTCTGGGAACGAAGCCCAGAGACAGCCATGAACTTGGCCCGCATCACACAGCACGTCAACGGCAGAAAGACAGTCAGAACCCAGCTCTCCTGGCTCCCTGTCAAAGGTATCTGTCCTTGTAAGCAGCGCAGTGTAGAGCCTGAGGTCCTGGACGTACCTTCTAGAATCAATCCATGCCCTTGGGTGACAACTGGGCCTGGAATTGGGAAGGCAGGGCCTGCTAGGGAACCTCTCGCTACTCTTGCTGTTAAAGCAGGCTTGCAGGGTAAAATATGGCAAGTCTGACTTCATTTGAGATTCACTAAACAGAGGAGTTTTGGGGTATGGCCCTGGGAGCATATTCAACCAGTGATTTATTGTTTATATGAAATTCAAGTGTAAACAGAGATATTGTTGTTTTTAATTTGCTAAATGGAGCAATCCTAGTAAAAAAAGGGAGGAGAAACTGGGTGAGTTCCCTCTCAGTTGCCCACATCGGAGAGAACCCAAAGGGGGAACCCAGTAGCAACAGGGGGTCAAGGTCTGTCCTCCTGGGCTCCCAGGCCTCTGTCAGAGAGAGGGCTGCAGAGGACTGCTGGGCAGACTCAGTGGAAGCCAGTTGGGTAGTTGGGCCTGGCATGCACAGACCAGCCTGGGCAATCCCCAGGGGCTGAGATCCTATAGCCGCAGCTCCTCTCCAAGGGAGACCCTGGCTCTACAATGCCACCTGCAAGGGGGTCCAGTGCCCTGGGGCGGGGTGAGGTATGACTTCAGCTGAGCAGGATTCTGGGCTTCCTACCAGGCAGAGCCCGAACAGAGCAGGTTCCAGGCAAATGGGAGAAGTTGCTGCTGCCACCCCCTCAGGTGTCACCCTCGCCACTGACTGTCACCATCATCTTCCTCCTCCTCACCTCCACCACCATACTCTGCCGGCAAGTACAAGTCCCAGGCCTTGCTCCAGGTTCTCCTGTCACAGTTAGTCATTGAGCTGTCCCCTGGCCACACCCTCCTGTCACCTCGTCACCTCGGCTGCCCCTGGCTGGCATCCAAGGATGGAGCTGCCACACACCATCTTCCAGCCCAGAGACAGGTTGCCATGGAACTGAGGGAAGCAAGGGGAGGCCCCATCCTCAACCTTGTCTTGGGCAACAGTTGGTTGTGACGTGTCACCCAGGTGCCACTTGGACACCCCAACCCAGTGCCCAGGCCCTGGAGCCTGGCCCTAGGGCTCGGAGGCAAAGTCAAAAGGCCAGACCTCTTCCAGAAGCCGGAGAACGCCGGCCCGACCCTGGTGTCCTGGTGTCCCGGGCTGAGCCTGACCTAAGCCTTGGGCAGCTTTCCAGGCCTCACAGCCAACTCCACCTCCTCTGCTCTCAAAACAGCCTGCCGCGAGCATCTGCCAGCATGCCTGAGCCATCCCCCGGGCACCCACCTGGGGCCCCAGGGACCCAGCAGGCACTTCCCAGGTCTCACCTGTGAACATCCACGCGTGTCTCCTCTCCTACCACACACACAGCGTAGGAGGGCTTGTCCAGGGACAGCCGCACAGCTCTCTGCGGGGCCATCCTGGCCCCTGGCTCCCAGCCTTCCCGATGGGCTCAGGCACCCTGGCGGCCACACGAGCCGACTCCCCGGCTCCTCTCCTGGGCACCTGGGCACCGCCAGGAAGGAGCGTGAGGTCTGATGGGCTGGGGCTCTCTTCCTCCCTTTTAATTTCACCCTCTGACCTGATTAGCCAGCCTGAGTCTGGTCCCCACCTCCTGGCTCCGTGCCCGGTCCTCCTCACATGCGGCTGTCAATTCAGGAGGCTGGAGGAGGAGGCGCCTGAGGCTGCCCTGGGAGGTGGGAAGTGGGGGCTTCAGCTGGGGGAGGAACCCCACGTGGAGAAGGAACCTCCCTCCTCAAGCTTTTCCTCCACGCTCGGACTGTGTGTGCCTGCCTCCCCACCGTCGTGGCGTCAGCATTTTCTGAGGCCTGACTGTGTGCCAGGCGTGGCTGAGCAGATCTTATCCCACGAACTCAAAGATCTGCTGGCATGAACAGCATCGGGGAGGGGGGACAGCCTGGGGTCTGCACCCAGGTACTGAATCTCCGGGAACTCAACTTTCCCAGGTGTGACATGGCAGCTGCATGGGATGATGCGGTTCAGTGACAGCCATCCCAGGCTGGTCAGGGAGGCTTAGAGCTCTGGCTTGGGGTAGTGGGATAGCAACCCAGTTCTGAAGCCCCTCTTCTTTCAGCTCAGGGTTCCAAGTTGAATCTGTGCTACATGCACAGAACTTCACTCGCCCACATGAGCGGGTTGGTGAAACATCTCCTGTGTTCAGCACTCCCTGGATGGTGGAGAGTTAGCCATAAACGGAACAGGCTCTGGCGACCTTGATAATCCAGGGCAAGGTTAAGTCGAGCAGAGGTGTGCGAGGACGATGGCGCGAGGACCCCAGCGACAGCACGGGTGGTGAGAGTGGGTACGCTTTTGAATGCAGCTGGAGATGATGTTTGCCACTGGATTATATGTGGGCATAGGAGGAAGCAGGGACGATGGAGCATCCAAGTTTATAGAAGAATGGAGAGCTTAGCAGAGGGCGCAGAAGGCCAGTGTGAGCAGCGGAGGTGGGAGTTTGCACACACAGGATGTCCACTAGACCTGAGTGGAGATAGCAAATTTGCAGTGACAGATTCCCTGCATAAAAGGGTCACAAAAAGGCGACCCTTCTGGATTCACAGGACACACTTCCTCAGCCCGGCCACCCCCTGCACAGAGTAGGACAAAGAGTACACAAACTGAAGCCTCCTGTCCATGACCCGGGGTGGGGGTTGCAGCAAAGACAGAGAAAGAAGAAGAACATTTTGTGCAGGACAGCCAGTCTGATGGTGGAACACAACCAGTCTGATGGTGGAACACAGCTAATGTGATGGCAGAACATAGCCAGTCTGATGGTGGAGGCACACAGTCTCTGCCCCCAACCCAGGGACCTCCAGCCTCATCAGGAAAACAGGAAGTACAAAAAAATACATAAGCATCTAATGATTACTTTTGATTTGGGGAATCTTTCTGGAACAATCTTTTTCAATTGATCAATCAATCAATCAATCAATTCTCGCCTTATTTCAAAGACAGAATGATAGCAAGAGATTAATCATCTACTGGTTCATTTCCCAAATGTCAGGCCAGATCCTGGGACCTGGAGTTCTGTCCAGGTGTCCCATCTTGGTGGCCAGGACCCAGGCAGGTACAGCATCGCTTGTTGCCTCACAGGGTGCACATTAGCAGAGAGCTGATTTGGAGGTGGAGGAACGGTGATGTGAACCAGGCACTCTACCAGGGGATGTAGATGCCTCAAGCAACTTCAACACTACAGCAGATGCCCGCTCCCAGAATGGTCTTTCTCATGCCCACTCCACCAAGCTCCAAAGCTCATCATAGCTGGCATGGCAAGGCCAAGACTAAGCTTACTCCATCAGTGCAGAACCCACAAACCATACTTCAGGGATGGTCTTCCACCATCGCCGCTCCTACCTCATTAGCCAGGACACATGCCTTTCTTTTTTTTAAAAAAAGATATATTTTACTTTTTTATTGAAAAGCCAAATATACAGAGAGGAAGATCCTCCGTCCTATGATTCACTCCCTAAGTGGCCACAATGGCCAGAGCTGAGCCAATCTGAAGCCAGGAGCCAGAAGCTGCTTCCGGGTCTCCCATGCAGGTGTAGGGTCCCAAGGCTTTGGGCCTTCCTCAACTGTTTTCCCAGGCCACAAGCAGGGAGCTGGATGGGAAATGGGGCTACCAGGATTTGAACCGGCACTCATGTGAGATCTTGGCACTTGCAAGTTGAGGACTTTAGCCTCTAGGCTACTGTGCCAGGCCCTACATGTACCTTTTTAAAAGAAATAACATTTGTTAATTAAAAACATACCTATTTCATATATAGTGAAATGTTTAATGTGGAAAAATGGGCTCCCAGAGAGCACATCAGGATGTTTCCATTAAGGAGGATGCAACTGGTGGCCATATGGGTGGATGAACAGACGCATAGATGAGTATGTGAAGAGATAAGTGGATGGACAGATGAGTGAGGGGAGTGGATGGGTGGATAAGTGGGCGTTGAGTGGGTGGATGGGTGGAGAGTAGGGGGGTGGATGAGTGGATGATGTATGAGTGGAGGTGGATGGATGAGCGGGAAGGTGGATGGGTAGATGAGTGAGAGGGTGGTTGGATGGATGAATGAGGGGCATTAGATAGGTGGATGGATGGGTGGAGGTGGATGGCTGGGTGGATGGATGGGTGGGTAGATGGATGGGTGGCTGGGTGGATGGATGGGTGGGTGGATGGATGGGTGGGTGGATGGATGGATGGGTGGATGGATGGATGGGTGGATGGATGGATGGATGGATGGGTAGATGGATGGATGGGTGGATGGATGGATGGCTGGGTGGATAGATGGGTGGGTGGATGGATGGGTGGGCGGATGGATGGGTGGATGGATGGATGGGTGGGTGGGTGGGTAGAAGGATGGATGGATGGGTACATGGATGGGTAGATGGATGGATGAGTCGAGGAGTGGATGCATGGGAAAGAGAAAGATACTTTGGTCCCTAGAGAGCTGTCTATGAAGGTGAGGATAGTGGTGATGATGATGGGACAATGGTGACAATGAAGCTTACAAGGATGCATGTAGTCCTCCCTGTGCACCAGGCACTGTTGTAAGCCCTTCCACTTAATCACTCATCTAACCCTCGTAGCAATCCTAGGTGGCAGATACCTGTTGAGCCTGGAATCCCAAGTTCAAACAAACCGCAGGACGGGTGTGCAGAATGTGCCAGTTGTGGTCAAGGCGGTGGCCCAGGCAGGTCACGGCGTCTTCAAAGGAATCTTCTCCCAGCTGGAGGAGAGGTGAGGGGAGGCAGGATGGAGCGCAGAGGAAAAGGGCCTGTCCCTCTCTACTTGACAGGTGAAGAAACTGAGGCACAGAGAAACAACGGGACGTGCCCGTGGGTCCTGGCTGTCCATGGGGACTGCAATCTGACTGGGGTGGATTTGATTCCTGGGAGGTGGATGGTCACGTGCTTTGTGCCCTCTTCCTCATGTCTGTGGGGATTATTTGAATAGTTGGCACACGCCAACAACAGTTTCAGTTTTGGAAAGAAGAAAGCCACCCTCATCATCCTCTCTTTGAGGAACATGAAGAGCTTCCTCCCCTTGCCTTGCTCTTCCATGCCCCACCTCCCTGCTCGCTCTCCCCCTTGCACTGAGAACATTCCTTTGAGGACAGCATGACCCATCCAGGCCCCTGTCCTAACCACGACCCGTGACAGGCTGATCCTACACCCCCAGGCTGTGGTATCTTTGAACTTGGATGCCAGGCTGCCGTGGTGGGATCGGGGGTGGGGGGGTGGGGATGGGAGATGGTATGATATCATTGTACTCCCTGCTGGGACTGCACACAGCTGGGAAGGCCTGCCCCGGCTCTCCTGAGAGGACAGGGCCACCCATGGCCTGGTGACCAAGGGCTCTCAGAAGACCCTAGGGCGTCCCTGGGACAGGACAAGGGAGCTACAGCTGGAGGATATCTGATGCTGGGGCTGCAGTGTCCGGGGCCAGGCTTCCTCTTCACTTCAACTTTTTTTTTGAGCACCTGCTATGCACCAGATACAGCCGTGAATCTGGCAGACCTTGGGCTGCCCTTCAGTGTTGTGGGGCTGGCTGTTCTGAGCAGGGAGGACTGGGGGCCCAGGGGAAGGAATGATGCTGTAGCAGAGATCTGAACAGGAGACCTTGACAATCCAACTGATTAATAAATTAACCAATTCCATGAACCTAGGGGTCCTCCGTCTCCCTCTTCAGGAGGTCCTGAACTTGACCAAAGTTTCCAAACTCTGATGTCTATGGGGTCAGGCAGACAGCATTAACCCTGAAACTGCCAGGCCAAGACCATTAGATGGGATAGCAGCTGCAGTGAAGGGGACAGGATCCTAGCAACAGAGCACCTTACGTCACGCTAAACCAGTGTGCCAGCCAGATGGACTCCCCGGGGTGGGGGGTTGGCAGTTAGGGTGCCCAGCATGCACTCTTACAGTGGGCAGGTGAGGACAGTGGCTGCAGGGTCACTGTGGTTGCAGAAGCCATTGGATACCCTGAGGACAAGCTACTGGGCCCCACCAGGGCATGTGACCAAATGAGGCAGGACCTAAACTGCTCCCATGTTGCCTGACGCCAGCTTCAGGCTCTTCCAGTCTGGGGGGTCCCTTCCCTAATACCCTGAGCCCTGGCCCAACTGTGTCTGAGTTCACTGAGTCAGCCACGGTGGACAGAAGGGGACCAGCGGAGCACGCCTCTCTGGACCCCCGCCCTGTGCTTTGTACCTCTGCCTACAGTCCTAGGTCTCCTAAGGGCAGAACTTTCAAGTCAAGCTGGGAGGACCCCTGAGACCACCTGACCAGCCCACATTCCTAACTCTGCCAGCATTGGTGCCCTCTCCACCAACCCCTGAGTCACTCATGCCAGAGACCCAGACAGCCTCCATGGTATTTGACCCCAGGATCAGGCAGCTACCCTCATCTTGC